CGTCGGTACCTCTGTACTGAGTCTCTGTTAACTTAAAATAATTTCTTTTGAGAGAAAATGAAGTCAACAATTTTTGAACTAGAATTAAAAAGATATTAAATAATTAGACCCAAGTGCAGACTCATATATTCCTACATTTGCTGGTTAATTTTATTTCATAAAATTTTGCCTGCGAGTCCAATGGTTCCTTTGACTTCAAATAAAAATCGTAACAAGTTGACACAATGCAACTAAATATTATGCAAACTACAAAAAATATGAACGATTTATCTGCAGTATCTAGAAGAGTATATATATTTGGATATATTACACTTTTATTATAAAGAAATTTTTTATTTACCATAGCCTTGTGGTTTTCTACTATCTATACAGTATTCAATGTTAGAACGCAATTGCAAGCCATATTTATTTTGATATTCATGGTTAAGACATTTATTTATCAACTCATCATATTTCTCCCGATAATTAGCAGAATGATTTCCAGCATGTATCGTTGCTACCTGAATATATTGAAAAATCAATTTTAGTCCATCATTTTGTAATGTAGGTATTTTCTAAAATAACTTGCTTCTTTATTTAAAGTGGATCCAATATAGAATTGATTAAATTGCGATGGATCCATTGTAGCTGCCAAAGATTTACAACGCTCTATGCAAGTTCCTATAAATATTACATCGTGTCGATATCGGTATTTCTGTTTGGAGTTATATGAATATTTTTCTATAGCCTTCCAAATTTGTGAGTTGTTATTTGGAACAACTTCAGTATAAGATAAACAAAAAACTCCATGGCCGTCATTGTTCTCATATAAACACGAATCGTAATCATCATATTGGGTAATTGGCGGCATTTGTAGGTATTCAGTTACTAAAGAAAAGTTAACATAGATATATTCTTAAGATTATATTTTGTATAGACACATAAATGGAGTTATAATTTTTCATCGTCATATACTTTTGTACACATGAGATATGTTATTAGTCATCTATTTTTTTATCACAAATAGACTATATTTTGCATATGACTTTGTTTAGTCATATGTTTCATATGTATATAAGTTTATATATCTACGCAAAATGGATATGGATGGATGCTTTGTTGAATCGTTAAGTAATATTAGAATTACTTTTCATTCCTAAGAAAGTGTCTATACATAAGAAAAAAAATTTTAAAAAACATGTAATAAATAATGTCTCCACAATTATTCTTTCTACAATTAAATAATTAAATTATTCTGTAGCTGGATAATGAATTCGTTTTTATAATGTAGGCAATGAATTTGTTAATGAACTATTAATTCACTGCCAATTAGCATAATTCCAAGTCATTTCAAAATTATGTAAGTCAAATGCGCTTTTAGATCTGCCCAATCAATAAACATGGTAATCTTTACATGGAAACTTTTTTCATATCTTTGGAATAATGCGATATTTTGAATATGCAGTCAAGAAAAACATAACATACAATGTTGCTACCTGCTCTCAGAAGCACCATAATTTTTATATTATGTGGATTTATAGATTATTTTCTAAAAGCTCCTTTAAAATTCATTCACAGTCCGATACTTAGTACACATTTTATTTTCACACACAATCAATGTTAGATTCAGTTAGATTAGGTTGAAATCAACGCCTTGTTCTTCAAAGCCCAATTAATAGAGTGTTGTGATACCACGGATTATTAAAGTCAACCAATGAAGAATATTATTAAAAATATTTTTAAGAATAGACCCCTAATATGGTAGTTTTCAGGATTAAAAGTCTTAAAGTCTTAAAATAGTGCAAATAAATTGGAAAAATTAGCACAAAAATATATTTTTATTATATATATTTATAAAATAATAATGTTTATTTACTTATTTTTTTATCACCCATATATACGTATATTTTTTATATATAACTATATATAATATGTTATTATTTATAATATATATAAATATATTTTATTATATTATTTTTAGGTATATATATATATATATATATATTGTATTATTGCATTTCTATTCAAACTTTTCACAAATGATATTAAATATCCAATTTGACTATAGTGAAGTCATATTTTATATTGTATATTTTGTATTATATATTTTATATTGCTCATTGTAGTTTTTATAAATTGATCACCAATCTCCTTTATTACCATATAGAGTATGTTTTTGTATATATTTTAAGAATAATTACTTCTTTTTGTTTTCTAAAGAATTCATGTTTTTAAGCATTTGAAATTTTATTTGAGAACACTTACTATTAAAATTGGCATCAGATAATTTTATAAAAATTATAAAAGAAAAAATAAAAATATTTACTGAAAAGCAACGATTCATTTTATTAACTTTTCTGACTATATTTCTAGAACTGTAAAACGACTTTGATTTGTTTATTAATCCTCGACTTTTGAAACAATGATCGAGAAGTAATAATTTACCTGTACTTGATCATTTATATGTACAAATCGTTCTTAAGTCTCTGCTAAAGTCTCACTAGTAGCAGCGGTTGATGTCTATAATTTCATATGTTATATATATACTTAAACTTTTTACTTTGGGTCCAGTTTTAATGGCATAAATATTTAATTATATTGATTAAAATCAATATGAGTTTAAAAAATATCATGTCAAATCTGATAGAAATTAAACTGATTGTAGTTATAGGTATAATTGTTTCTTATAAAAAAATTTATAAGTATTAATTATTTACTTTATAAGATAAATGGAATTTTACTCAATATACTGAAATCAAATTTTAAAAAACTGCTGTGATAACATATTATTTAATAATGCTATCTATATCTATTAAATAACTAAAGCAATACAAAAAGTGTTTTAATATTTTTTTCCAAAGGTCACTATTTATATTTTGATCCTACTAATGAAAAAATACTAACTTATTGTGGAACATTGCTTTATTGTTTCTTGAAGTATTCTTCTTTATGATTAAAACCTCCAAAACATGATTTTTGAATGAAACAACGGCTACATCCGCTAACAAAAATTTGTCCACGCAATTTACAAGTATTCTAGACGTTCAGGAAGAAGAAGAAGTCATTGGGTGCCAAATCAGGACTGAGAACTATACGGCGAATGACCCATCGATTCAATTTTTTGACTGTTTAAATAGTCGGTTGTTAGACGAGATGTGTGACTACTTGCATTGTCTTGCTGGAGATGTAGAATGATCCGACAATCCTTGTTTGTTTTCCGTATTTCACTGAGTACTTCGAGTAAACAAATACCAAGTGGTAGTATACCATTCGGAATGGTTCGTTTTACCTTCCTATAGTAGTATCCGTTATGGTTATGTGGCAACTACTCACATAACCAGTTTTGTCGAAAAAACAAGTGACCATTTGTTTAGAAGAACTTCGACCGCGAACAACTTTTGTTGAATTTCAAATGGGTTTCAATGTTATTTCAAAAGTCGCTCTATATTTTATATTGGAACCCAAATAAATAAGAGACTATTAGCTTGCGATTTTTTGACTGCATCACCCGTGCTAAAAGGAAAATTCCTTAGTCGATTTCGTTTCGGAATAATATCTTTTATGTTTCTTGGAAGATTAAAGTTTTTATAGGAACAGATAGGATGAGATGTAGGACAACATGCTCTTGCTATTTGAGTTTTCTCAGTGATCTTATTTATACTCCATTTTAACTGAAAAACATTATTTAAGTTTCTATGAAACGTTTTGTCAATTAAAATTTCTTTAAATTGGTGGCAATTAGAACTTATTCTCATGGGTACAGGATTACCCATGATTGATTGATTGATTCAATAACTGATTTTTTTTTTTCAATCGTAAAATGAAGCAATCGAGAGGAGCTCGTGTAGAACTGAAAAATGAAAGTTTAAATCCAAGTACTTAAAAATACCATTGTCTAATATATGATTGAAGTCATTATTTCAATAATGAGTCGGTTTTACAGAAAGATGCAGTTCAATATTATTATTATTATTATGGTTGTAATATCCAAATGGCCATCTGCTGTGAAAACCATTTAAATGGTTCTTCTGCTTATAGGATTGGTTTATCATTTTCTTGAAGACTTTCTAGAAGATCTGTCAGATGTCTGAAGTAAAGTTTACCGTTTATATTATTAGTCTCTATAAAAATTGATACAGATTCAAATAAACTTGAGATTTTAATTTCAGAGTGTTGATGTAAGTCTGTCTTCATCACAACTGCTGTTCCATCAGCTCTCCTATGCAATCTATCATTTCTGTTGATTGAATAATTAGAAATTGTCAAAAGTTTTAGAAACGTATCTCGGATAAATAAAATATCATCACACAAATTTTAGCTTAAATTTAATACTAATAATATAATATTTGGTATTAAATTTAACTTCAACTGAATGATATTCCATTCAACGGATTTGATTTTAAAATGAAATAAAACGACTTGTTGAAGAGAATTAAGAAGATTGATATATATCTCTGAGTTTTGACAATTAATAACGTTTAAGTGAAGACAGCGACGAGTTACAAGTTGATAATATAGTGAACTCAGGAATGAACTGGTAACACATTTTAGTCGCTATTACACATAAAACATAAAATGCAAGGGGCATTTATGTTGTCAAATCCCTCTTTGAAACAAATTTCGTTAGTTCACTTCACAATAAAATAATCAATCATTTCTAACTCATTATTGTCATAAGTTAAGTTTAATTATATTTCATTTCAAGTCATTAAAAAATTAACGTTATCAACGCCTTTTAAGTTTATGAAAGGTGGCAGCGCATTTGTCAATTAAAAAATATGTTTGATTATTGTAATAACATTACTCGCTACTCAGAATAGTAACACTTTATTCCGAAAATCTTATATATAAACTATAACGTTATTAAAAACACAATAGATAACGCCTTATATATACCAAATAAAAATAATTTTAATATGAAGAGATTTATTGAATTACACTTTTAAGTTTAAAAACTTTAAATTAAAAAACTAATTTAAAAGTATTCAACATGCGTATATATTATAGCATATAATATATGTAATATAATTTTCCACTAAAATATTGCGCCTCTAAAAATATTGGTCTCATCTAATTATTTCGATTTTGAGTTCTCACTTCCAATCATATTTTCTGAAAAGTAAAATGGTTAATACAAGTTCTTAAATTATACATACATGCATAAATATATATTCAATCATGTATGAGTATTATAATAAAATTCATTTAATATAATTTATAGTCCTGATATTATTTACATATTAAACCAACCTTTATTCAATAAAATATCAAATATTTTATTGATTGGGTATTCGAATATGAGAGTCAAAATGAACGATAAACTCCAGGCAACACACTGGAACAATATGAAGCGCAGATTCTTAAATGATGAATATTAGAATTTAATCTTAAACGGTAACGTGTCTTCTGAAGAGCATACTCACAAAATGTAAGTCATTTGAATATAATGGTTGTCGAATATATCCATATATTATGTACAATGCTGCCATATGCCAGAGATATAATTGATAAACAATTCTAGACATCTTCACCGCAAACGCTGAACTCAAACCCATACGCATAATTCCTATATTTCACATAGAAAATAAATATGCATCATAATTAAATACATAATTATATATAATCCAGTATTTGTACCTCCAAGTTTAAATGTTAAGCCCAGAATTAATATACAGTAACCCACAGCCCAGATATTACAAAGAATGTGAGATGTCAGGCTACTCAATGCTGGATTGTCCTCAACCGATTTGAATTTGAAACTTGGTAAAATTGAGACAGCAACATACAAGATCCACCAACCAATTTCATATATAAAGACACCCTTGAACGACTTGTGATTAGTTCTCCTTTTGATTTCCATATATATTTCACCGGTTATGATACCGAATAGATATATGCCCACAGTGCTGTATATTGTATAGAGTACCTTTACATTGTAACCAATGTATTGATACTCCATATATCGTAGACTTCTATTATAAACAAAACGAAATATTTTGAGATAATAATTATGTATAACGGCTACAAGCTTTATCACCTACTCAGATTGAACAAGTGTGTTATACACAAGATTATAGTAATTTGCCAAAAGTGGGGGCAGTAATATAGATATAGCAGTAATGATGGCATAAATAAATTTCTTGTACTGAGGATATCTATAAAAATATATCAATTTTATTTACATTAATGAACTAATGATTACTGTATATATTGTACTTAGCATTAAACGTCAATATTATCAGAAAGAATACAAATAGTTGCATATCAACAGCAACGAACCAAGTTTGAAACGAGGCCTGTAATTAAAAATTCCTGAATGGGTTCTGTAAAAAAATTATTACATTTTCCTACATACACTATTGGAAAAATTGTTGATGAACAATAGACTTTTCCACCAATTTTCACGAGCATTTGTTTGGTGATGTTGTATGGCATGAATCCAATTAGGTCCATCTGAAAGCTGTTCCAGAAGAGTGCCAAAAAAAAAAATCATCAAAACTAGAGATGGAATTAACCTTTAATAAAAAAAAAAGTATTTACTAAACATTTTCAAATAAGTTTATCGAATTTTTAAATAATTTTTAAAGATACATACGCAAAACGAATAAAACTATAAACCAATGAAATTTTTAACAAGAGTACTGGTCACAATTGTTCCTACCTCAAATAACGATAAAAAATCGCTTTCACAATGACTTTGAAACAATGATTCCAACTGCTTTTGTAATTAATATTCAATCTATTCTTAAAGTTATAAAACAACATAAATCCACTCATCAATAAAAATATCGAGTTCATATTCACAACTCCGTGTATCATAGATGGTTCCCTCCTGCTTCTGGAGCGATCTTCACAATAATGTGAATTTGATACTGGAAATCCTCCTTGCGAAGTACCGAAATGTCCATAAATACTTAGTAAATGTCCTACTACCTTTAAGCCATTAAAGAATTTCAAATCGTCGGTGCCTCTGTACTGGGTGTCTGTTAACTTAAGGTAATTTCTTTTGAGAGAAAATGAGGTTAACAATTTTTGAACTAGAATTAAAAACATATTAAATAATTAGACACAAAGTGCAGATTCATATATTTCTGTTACATTTGTTGGTTAATTTTATTTCATAAAATTTTGCCTGTGAGTCCAATGGTTCCTTTGACTTCAAATAGAAATCGTAACAAGTTGACACAATGCAACTAAATATTATGCAAACTACAAGAAATATGAACGATTTATCTGCAGTATCTAGAAGAATATATATATTTGGATATATTACACTTTTATTATAAAGAAATTTTTTATTTACCATAGCCTTGTGGTTTTCTACTATCTATACAGTATTCAATGTTAGAACGCAATTGCAAGCCATATTTATTTTGATATTCATGGTTAAGACATTTATTTATCAACTCATCATATTTCTCCCGATATTTAGCAGAATGATTTCCGGCATGTATCGTTGCTACCTGAATATATTGAAAAATCAATTTTAGTCCATCATTTTGTAATGTAGGTATTTTCTAAAATAACTTGCTTCTTTGTTTAAAGTGGATCCAATATAGAATTGATTAAATTGCGATGGATCCATTGTAGCTGCCAAAGATTTACAACGGTCTATGCAAGTTCCTATAAATATTACATCGTGTCGATATCGGTATTTCTGTTTGGAGTTATATGAATATTTTTCTATGGCTTGCCAAATTTGTGAGTTGTTATTTGGAACAACTTCAGTATAAGATAAACAAAAAATTCCATGGCCATCATTGTTCTCATATAAACACGAATCGTAATCATCATATTGGGTAATTGGCGGCATTTGTAGGTATTCAGTTACTAAAGAAAAGTTAACATAGATATATTGTTAAGGTTATTTTTTGTATAAAAACTTCAATGGAGTTATCATCGTCATATACTTTTGTACATATGTAATATATTATTAGTCATCTATTTTTTTATCACAAATAGACATATGCAAAATATATGACTTTGTTGTCATTTTTTTCATATGTATATAAGTTTATATATCTCCGCAAAATGAATATATAAAACATCGCTTTATCGTATCGTTGAAAATGTTAGAATTGCTTTTCATTCCTAAGAAAGTGTCTATACATAAGAAAAAAATATATTACAACATGTAATAAGTAATGTCTCCACAATTATTCTTTACACAATTAATTCGTTTTTATAATATAAGCAATGAATTTCTTAGTGAAGTTTCTCTGGCAATTAGCATAAGTCCAAATTACTCCAAAATTATGTAAGACAAGTGTGGTTCACTAATTACCGCTAAATCTGAGTTTCACATCCTAAAGGTACACGTTGGTACTTCCAGTCTAAGAAACTATTAACGAATAATTAAAAATAAGAAATGTTTCCAAAATATCTTTGATGATGGGTATTAAGCCACACTCGAAATGGCTCCATGATCTGTGAAAAATTCAATTAATGAAAAATAAAATTTTATTTTTCAACTTTCAATTAGAAAAAGTTTCTGCTTGTAAGATGACAGTTTCTTCATCATATTTAAATTTAGAAATCAAAGTTAATATATGTTTAATATATTGAAAAGATATAAAATTATATGAAATCTAATATAGTCTGGATTTTTTTCTAGGAATACTTTTTTTGCATTACTATGTAAGGATGGAAATGTTTTCCAGTTTTCAACCTACATGTAACCAGTTAAATAAGAAATCACCCGGCTCCATGACCTCCCAGCAGACATCTCTAGTCTTAATACCTTCCTGAAGACCTTGTTCAAGCCTTTCGCTTCAAACCTCCTCAGTACCTATCCCATTATTTCGACGAGTTAGATCACAAACCTCTCTCTATTCCCCTTTATTACCGCGGCTTTCGTGACCCCGGTCACAAAGTTTGTCATTGATCCCATCCCCGCTGTTTAGCCGTAACCCTACCCCTTTCATTATTTCATTATTTTATCCTAATTTATGCCCTTGCTTTCTGGCTTAGATGAACCTAGTTCACTAGGTATTAAGTCTACCTACTTTCTCTCTCCCCTGATTACTTGAAAGAAGTTTTCACATTGCTGTTGGAAAATCTTCTCCATTCACTCCGAAGAGGTGGTTTTAGTGGATTGAAATCTCACACTGTGGCTTTTCGATGCTTTTCAAAAAATGAGAGGCAGTTAGGGATCGACACTTAAAATCATCACAAGCACGCAGAGGCACTTAGTGATCAATATTCCAAGTCATCAGAAGTACGCAGAAGAACTTTGTGGTAAACCTTTCCGCAAAGTATGATGAAAACAACAACTCGTCAACAATTTCTTTTTTATATACCTATCTCAAAAAGTAAAAAGTAAAAATTAATTTAAAAAATAGAAAGAAACATTTTTCCTTGAAGCATTTGCTTTATAGACGGATACTTTCCAGACGGACAGACAGAGTGGCTAAAATTGTTTGATTCTGTGAATGCTCACACTAATCTAGACTTGCATTCTCTTAAAACAAATGCCATATATATTCCGTAAGGAATATGTGAATTCCGACCTACACTGCTATAAAATCAAATAATTTATCATATTGCAATAGAACGCTTGTTCCAATGGATCACTCAAGCTTAAAAGGACTCTATTGATTAAAAGTGCTTTTAGGTTGCGTTTCATTAATCATTATGTTTCAAGTAATAACATTATTTTATCTTCAATATATTTATATATTTTTATTTATATTTATTTTAAAGTATTTAAGTTTAGTATATCACAAGGTCCAATTTATTAAGTTTTCACAAATTATGTATTATATATTCAGTGATTATTTCACTACAAATTAAGTTTACTACTAAATCGAGTAATCGTAAATATATACTTTAAGGACAATTAATTGTTTTTTGCACACTTACTATTAAAACTAGCATCAGATAATTTTAAACAAATTATAAATAAAAAAATAAATATATTTACTGAAAAGCAACGATTCATTTTATTGACTTTTCTGACTATATCGCTAGAACGGTAAGATCACTTTGATTTCTTTATTGTTCTGTGACTTTTCAGATAATGAACTGGAAGTTATTATTGGCCAAACATTATATATATATATCTTCATTGATACATATGCATGCCTATTGCCTATATATACATATTAATACATATAGAATAATTTTATTTTTTTCTACGTGAACTTACCACTGTAGGTCCAATTTTTTCTATCATAGAAAAACTCATAATAAATTAAATTTAAATTATGTCTATTCAATGATATAATGATGACTTCATAAGTATGAATTAAAAGCAGTTTGTTTAATTAATCAATCGGAGTATAAGTTTTTATTATAATTACATAAATATAGTAAATAAAATCAACTTTTAAGAAGCTGCTATGACTATAATGTATTATTAAATAATTATCTAAATGCTGTCCATATAGATTAAGTGACTAAAATATAAAGAAAAGTATTTAGTATTTAAAAATAAACCTGCTAATTTTAATCTAAAATTTTAAAGTTATATGAAAAACTATTAAGTGATATAAAATATACCCGTAGGTTTTTGATACATTTCTGAACAATTTTATTTCATTCATTTTAATCATTATTTTATTAAAGTATATAGTAGAGTATATAGGTAGCTTTTTGTCATAATTCCATTCGTGAAAAACTTTGGTAGCTTACCAATAAAAATCTTGACGATTTTTAATAGCTTTTTTCCAGACAATTTTTTTGCAATTATGTAAGTCTCATAGAGACTGAAACAAATGGTTGACAGATGGTGGATGATTTAAAATCAAGTTCTATCAATTGACAGGTAGATGATTCAAAATCGAGTTCTATCAATTAATTTCGAATTATCATTCGGATATGTGTAACTTGTCATTTTTGTGATGAAACACAACACATTTTTTATTGATTAATTCTTGTCTTGAGCAGTAGAGAACAAAATTAACCGTTGTACTGGACTGGAGAAGCTTGTAATAGACAATTCTTTTTCAATCACACCAAACACATAAACATAATCAATAGTCTTGACCAATATATATATGTTTAACATATATGTTCCTTGGACTAGTAATTACATTTGGACTTAATTCAATTTAATTTTTTTTTTTTTATTTTATTTTTATTTTATTTTATATTATTTTATTTATTTCTATTTTATATTAATTTATTTACGTTTACTTCATATATATTATTTTACTTTACGTTATTTTATATTACAGTATTTTACTCTATTGTATTCTATTGTATTTTTCTGTTTTATTTATTTTATTATTAAATTAATTATTTATTTCTCTTTTTATTATTTTATTTTGTTTTAAATTACTTTATTTTATTTACATTATTTTATGCCATTTTATTTTTAGTTACTTTATCTTATTTTAAATTATATTAGTTCACTTTTTTATTGTGTTTTAGTTAGATTAGATTAGAGATTAGATTATTTTATAATTTTTAATGTATTTTATTT